TTCTTAAGCATCCAGAGAAGCCGTATAAATAATAATAATAATAATAATAATCCGTACATTTGATATAGCACCTTATCACATCTTTGAAACGTCTCAAACTGCTTCACAGAATATACTGTAAAGTGAATTGACTGGACAAAACTTGGCAGCCAATTGCGCACAGCAGTGTCCCACAAATAGTCATGGATTGTGTGACCAAATGACTATTTTTTTTAAAAGGGATTATTAGCCCCGGAAAAGCCATCCGCCAATCAAATAACACAGAGGCGTGTGTGCAAAGTTGATGTTGTTGTCTCTGCTCAGTGAATCTCAGGGCAGGATCTTGCTATAGTCGGATCCTGGTGCCTGACTCCAAGTTGCAGAGAATAGAGTGAATGCCCAGGGGAGATGGAAGCAAAAATGCAATCAGAGCTTTCGCTGAACATCGTCAGAACCATTATCAAACTGAGCCTCAGAGCAGGAAACTGAGACAATCCGAGTCATTTATAGGCTCGAGTCTCGAGGCCAGGGATGTGCAAAATGATGTGATCTTTGTCAGATCCCCAAATCCATGGGGTACGTCACCTGTTAAGGTAAGCGCAGAAGATTTTTCAATTGAGTCTTTATTCGGAAATGGGCTTGTTTTTAAGACACTGCTGGAATAAACGACTTGAAAATTCAGGAACCTTCCACATCTCTGCTCTGGCTTAAATTTTAAAGACCACATCAGGTGAAGGTGGAACTTCAGGCCTTGGGTACGTTGCCTGTGGACAGATCTGAAGTGTTCCTGCCAGCTGGTTGAGATTTCTGACTGACCCAGGAGCCATAACCCAAAAGAATATTATTATTATTATCATTTTTAATAGCTCCCCCTATAGCTCAGTTGGCAAAGCTACTGCTAGTGAATAGCAAACCCCAAGCCCGCAATAAGTTAGCTGGGTTGCTGTTCCTGTGGTTGGCCTCATTAGTACGTTAATATCTATCAGGATCACTGGTTACCTCAAGCAGGCATTCTCCAGGCATTTTCTCAAACCCCCACCCTGTGCAAACACTCTTCAACAAAGGAAACGCAGCCTTTTTTCCTCCCATTAAACACCTTGTTTAGTTTTGAGAAACGTAAATGTGAAATGACAGAGTGATAGCCGTTCACTCTAACACTTTAGAGACTGACGTGAGGAAGCCTATACCCTTCTGACAGCTTTATTCATTTATCTTGTAAGGTGAGGTGATGCTTTCATTGTGCTGTTGTGATGGGATGCTGAGAGCAGGTTCAGGAGCTACCTGCTCTCCGCAACCAAACTGCGCTGAACACAAAGGGCTGGAGAAGATCACGGTGCTTACTTCTGTGAATCACTCTCATCGTAAAACTCAACCTTACATTCCTCCGGCTCCCACACCCTCCGATGATTTCTTCACCAAATAATTATCCAATTCTGGAATTCTAGGCTCAACCCTCCTTCCTTCCTTGCTTGTGTCTAACCATGAGTGCAGGGCTCTGACACATTATCCTACGTGAAGGGTGTTGTAGAAGTGCAAGTTATTGTGGAATTTGATGGTACAATCTACCTCCTTGGCTTGCCCATTTCTCCACCCTCTTTGTAAAGCGGGGTCTTCTTGGAGGTGAACTGAACTGTGGCGATCTCGGTAATCCGGTTCCTGAGCCAGGTGGGTCCACAGTATTCCAGGGCAGACACTGGGGGCAGGGAGTTGTTCCACTCGGCTTCCATTAACCCCGCAAGCCAAAGCCCTAACGGTTAGTTTTGTGTAAGGTGGACAAGTAACGGGAAAGTTTGCCCGACAACAATATCAATGGCAAGCTATGTGGTTTTAGCTGGTTAGACTCCAGCAGTTACCCCAACCACACTCTGGGATCCCCCCAAGCCTTGGCTCTTGCCAACCTGTGCCTAATACTTTCTGGAATTAGGTAAGCAGGATGCATCTCTCCAGGGGGAGAGGGAGAGAGAGAGGATTTCCAGGTGTGGGTGGGATGCATGGAATTCTCAGCATGGTTTGCCTACTCTTAAGCACGGTGATGGGTTTCCCCGTTGTCAGATACCCGGCTGACCAAAACAAGGCACCCTCTGCGTGAAGACATTCAGTATAAACTGTCCATTCCCCTCCTCTCTCTGGACCTCAAATCTCTGCCTCTCTGTTAGTATATATTTAACGATGTGGTAGAAAGTTTAATATCATGGTAAAATGAATCACAAACAGTAACTTCTTTGGTAACCAGAAGTGGGTCAAACTACCTCAACTGCCCATGTTTATGGGGTGAAACGGGTGACTTTGTAACTTGTTCCCTGTAATGAAACATCGTCAATTTTCCCCCCAAAGAGCATTATTTTCAAACCAGTAACAATTTCAATACTACATTGAGAAGATTGGTCACTTTGGTGTTCAGTTGCACAGCTGCTCATATCACTGATCGTGAGTTGCAACAACACTTTGGTTCTGCGGAAGGCTCAGTGGGTAAATGCCAGCAGACCTGACCCAGAAACAGAGTACTCAACGGTGTTCCCCCACACACTCACTGCAATTATACAATGTCGACCCCCCCCCCCCCCACCGCTCCCCCCACTCCACATGACAAAAACAATTTATCTCGAGTGGAGCTGACTCTTTGCAATAAATAGGATTGTCTGAACATATCATGTTGAGGCTGCTCCCGATGCCAACTCCTAAAAACAAATCAGAAATATATAATAATCCTTGCATTTGCATCCTTTATCACGTCTTCGAGACGTCTCAAAGCGCTTCACATAATATACTGTAAAGTGAATTGACTGTACATTTAGTGGGTGAAACGCGGTAGCCAATTGCACACAGCAGCGTCCCACAAACAATCGTGGATTGAGTGACCAAATTGTTAATATTTTTTCTTAAGGAATTATTAGCCCTGGAAAAGAGATCCGCCAATCGACAAACAACTGGGTTCTTACTTACTACTAGTTAAACAGAGGTGTGTGGAGTACGGAAACTTGCCTAAAGTTTCGCCCTGCCAGGAAATCAAACCCAGGTCCTCTCTCTCTTGCTCACCGAGTGCTCTAACCACTGAGCTACAGAACTGCGGAACCTGTCCCGATCTCATCTCTTCCTCTTCACACAAATCCCCTCATAACCAACTCCATCTCCCTGGGAAACAGTTCTACGTAAACCATACTGAGTAAAATAGTTCATCTACATCAAAAGTGGCCAACCTTTATGGTTTCTTGACAGCCCTGTGGGCCACTCCTGTGTCCACAGGCCACAGGTTGGATCAAATTTCATTACGTGACAGAAATGCTGTTCGCTAATTCCTCCCTGTTATGGAGTGTACCTAAAACTCTGATGTCTTAACATAAATGTCCATTTAGTTTAATGAGAGTCAAGCATACAATTTTTTCCCCAGCGATTTGACACAGACTAATAACAGGTCTTCAGTGTAAAAACAAAGATCTCATGAGACATGACATTAATGGTATGTTTTGCACATCAGCAGCAGGGTCTTTGTTGGAAATGCTCCTCACCAATCCACCCAAATGATGTGCTGTTGTGCCTTGTGGCTTTTCTTCTCTTTCTGTTGAAAAAAAAGGCGGATTCTTCCTTGGCGAGGAGAAGGTGAGAGGTGTCAACGCTGGAGACAAGAGCAAGTGTACCCCCTGCTTACATTCAGTGTCAATGTCAATCATTCCCCGATCAGTTAAGAAAATAATCCTTGTATTTGGGATTGTGCCTGGAACGTCAAAATGTCTCAAAGCATAATTGCTGTCAAGGAGACTGACTGTATTTGAAGGCAAATGCAGCAACTAATATGCACACAGCAAGGTCTCACACAGCTTTGAAATAAATGACCAATTTATCACGGTGTTGGAGGTGCCATCCTTCAAATGAGACGTTAAACTGAGGTCCCATCTGTGTTTGTTCAGGTGGATGTTAAAAATCCCATGGCAATACTGGAAAAGAGAAGGGAGTTTGGTCAGCTGGGATTGTTCTCCTTAGAGCAGAGAAGGTTAAGGGGAGATTTAATAGAGGTGATCAAAATTATGAGGGTTGTTGATAGAGTGGATAGGGAGAAACTGTTTTCTCTTGCTGGTGGGTCAGTAGCCAGGGCACATAAATTTAAGATAATTGGTAAAAGAACCAGAGGGGAGATGAGGAAACTTTTTTTTGCACACAGAGACTTGTTACGGTCTGGAATGCACTTCCTGACAGGGTAGTGGAAACAGATTCAATAACACATTTCAATGGGGAATTAGATGTGTACTTGAAAGGGAAAAAATTGTGGGGAAAGAGTGGGGGAGTGGGACTGATTGGGTAGCTCTTCCAAAGAGCTGGCGCAGGCACGATGGGTCGAATGGCCTCCTTCTGTGCTGTTAATATTCTATGATTCTATGACTGACTCCACGACTATTGTGGGACATTGCTGTATGCAAATAGGTTGCTGCATTTCAATCCCAAAATACACAATACTCCACTTTACAATGTATCCCGTGAAGTGCTTTGAGACATCCTAATGTGAAAGCTGCAGAGATGCAAAGATTATTATTAAATCTTCCTATATTTTCTCTCCCAACCACATGCCTCGATCACGGAAACAGCTCCCAGTGTGAATTCACCCCCTTCACCAGGACTGTCTAGAGTGAGGGAGGAAAGTGATTGTGATGTTACGGTTTTCGACATGCTGTAGCGTTGAGTGAGAGGGAAGAGATTTTGACTGTCACAGTCTTGACGTGCTGCAATTCTTTAACAAGTTTCTTCTCAAATGGGTCAAATGTCCAACTTAGATTCAACACGTGACAAATCGCTCGGAAATAACCCAAACCAGGTGCCTCTGAGGGCATCTATTAGACAGCGGCAAGCAAACACACCCACATTCTGGCCCCGTCACCACACAATCGAGGTCATCAAACACGTCTGAGGAAGTTAATCATCTGTTCAGTTTCTGTTAATTAAAAAAGGCAATAACTCATTCGTGCCCAGCAGTGTTTAACTCTGGTCCTCTTCCTTGAAATGTGCACTGCACTGAAATACAAAGTCGTAAAGATATTCATACTCTGCATCTTTTATTTGCAACCTTCACAGAATATGCAAGCGGCTTATTCAAACAGTTAAGGGCTGCCAAATGGTGTCTGCTAGCAGGTGGCCCCTTTCTCTCTCCCGCCGCCCGCCCACCCACCCAAATCGGGAGCTGCGGAGTTGATGGGGAAAGCGACAAAATCAATTTACAATAAAAACAAAACACAACCGTAGGTAGAACAAACAAAAAAGTGGGTCTAAGTTAACGGCGCTCATTGCATTTCTCAAGCGGGCGGGTGGGAGCTCTCTCAGATCAAACTAAAAGCTGACATCAAAGTTCTGAAACGCCGGGAGTTTCCTCTCCGACTAGGCACAGGTCTGGCGGCTGAAGAGGTCGAGGGTCACGGCGCTGAGGAAGGCGGGGATGCTGTTCTGGTGGTACAGGTGGAGGTCAATGAACTCTGACAGGGTGCTGGAGAAATCTGTCTGCAGCAGCTGCATCTTGGCTCCCAGGCTGTTCCCGGCCTGAAATGAGAGAGGGAGAGACAAAAAAAAGATAAAAGTTTCAATAGAGCCTGCGGAAAACAAGTTGGTCGTTTTAAAATTCCCCGCCCTACCGCCTGCCTCACTTTCGAGGTCCTCTCCTTCTCTTGGCTGAAAGCCAACCGAAACGAGCAATTAATAATAATAAGAATAATACTCCTTGCATTTGATACAGCGCCTTACCACGTCTTCGAGATGGCTCAAAGCGCTTCACAGAATATACGTAAAGTGAATTGACTGTGTGTTTTGTGGGCGAGACGTGGCAGCCAATTGCACACAGCAGTGTCCCACAAACAGTCATGGATTGAAGTGATCAAATTATTATTATTTTTTTTTGAAGGGTTTATTACCACCGGAAAAATGATCCGCCAATCGACTAACAACTGGGTTTCTACTTACTGCTAGGTAAACAGCGGCTCGTGGAGTAAGGAACCTTGCCCAACGTTTCGCCCTGCCTGGGAATCGAACCCGGGTCCTCTCTCGCTTACTCAGCGAGTGCTCTAACCACTGAGTTACAGGACTCCACACTACGAAGCACTACACAACCAGTCTATCCATCTTGCTATGTCAAGTGTGCTTTGCAGGAAGGAGGAATAGAGGGTGAGGAGGCCTCGGGTACAATTTATGTCCCACAAGGGGCTCGTCTGCGAGCTCATCACCAATACAGTCCCACCTGAGCTATGTGCAGTGCTGGGAGTTGGATGCTGTGTGGATCCCAGGCTTGCTCATTCCACAATCCGCTCACACCAGGCACCAGACAAGCAATTGAAAGCTAGATCAAATATTAAATCGAACTAACAAGTGATACATCTGAGCGCAGTTTCTCTCACAGTGAACATCGTTCCCTTTAGAACACACCAACATGGAGGTATTACCACTGCTGTCAAGGGTAGCTTAAATAATCACCTGTAGTTTAGTCACTTGTAGAATAACGTCATCTGTATTAATAGTCATCTGTGGCATAAATGGTTATTTCATGGAAGCAGCAATATACCAGTTTAAAATCTCATTTGAAAGACTGTACTTCAGACAAATCCCCCTCCCCACCTCACTGTGCCCTGCTCTGCAATATCAGCCTGGACTATGAGCTCAACTCCTGATCTGGTGGAGGTGGGGTGGGGGGGGCTTGAATCCACAACTTTCTGAGGCGAGAATGCTACCGACTGAGTCAGGCTATGGTCTTCAGTGGGGAGAATAGCGGAGGCAACTGATCTGTGTGGGTGCAATCAATCCCCCTACCCCCCACTCCTCACACCACCACCACACCACCCAGGATAACAGCTGACATTCAAACCCTTGTGTTTCTGAAAGGAATTCAGAATTCCACATGGGTGAACAAAGAGGGAGAGATAAAGTGAATGGCGCTTTCTTTAGAACATCCTTCTTTATGCACTACAAGAAAAGCGGTTATCAGTTGCTAACACTGTTCACCTGCCTGTCGCGGGTTTCTGTAAGAACTTGAATGCTAAGTCTGACCCTGGAGATTTGCTCCGTGTCCCACAAAGATGGCTTTAGTATTCCTCAGCAATATCAATCCAACAACAGAGCAGCACTTGAACAATGCTGAAAGGTATTAGTTGTTCAGACTGAGAAATCTCCTTCGCAGCAGCAGGAAGATGAGCTGGGCCCCAACAATGCAAACCCCAAAGAGATTCGAAGTTTAGTGACAGAGAAACTTTGAATAGGAAAGCAACTCACAACACTGTTTCATAGAATGTTACGGCACAGAAGGAGGCCATTCGGCCCATCGAGTATGTGCCGTTTGATGAAAGCAAGGCTGAATGTTGCAAAGAAAATGCTCCGGGAAAGTAATAATAATAATAATAATCCTTGCATTTGATATAACGCCTTCGACTGCGCCTTTGGTCACCCTTCTACCCCTACCCTCCCTGCCCTCCACCCCACCTGATCCCAACCACTAGCTCGGGTGCGGATTTCAGCGCCCCGGGACATTCTCCTGACGTGAAATACGCTGTACAAATGGAATTTGTTGTTGTTGTTCAGACGTCTAAAAGCGCTTCACAGAATATATTGTAAAGTGTATTTTGAGGGCAAAACACTTACAAAAGTAAGGCCGCATTTGGAGAGAGATTCCAGGGGCAACTAAATTCACTCTACGTCACATTTCACAGAGATCAGAACGGGGCAAGTTGTTGAATTCTCCACTTTGAACTCGGTTTTCTGGGGTTTCTTAAAAAAACCTTTGAAAAAGAAAATCTCGGGATACAATAAATATATAGTTTGGGATACGCCATGCGAGTGCCAGGATGAACCTTGGTCTTCCTTTGCCAGCAAATTGTTATGTTCTTAACCTAAAAAAAGGCTTTAAAATTAAGGCTAAATTTACATCATCAACAACGACAAAACTGCATTTGTAAAGCGCCTTTCACATCAGGAGGACGGCCCAAGATAAATTTAGGAATTTATCAAAATTTATCTGAAGTGCCGAGTAAACCAAACAGGGTGGAATTTCACCCGAATGGTGGAGGAGTGCATGGTGTTTAACAAGATCCCTCAATAAGGAATAAGGTATCTGAGGTGCACAAATGGGGACTTCTTCCGTTAACAGGAGATGGGAGGCACCAATCTGCCCAGGAACAGAGTTCCTGTAGCTCAACAGGAATCCCTTACATTGAGAAACAGCACAATTTGGAACCCACGACATGCCAGGAGCTCAGACACTGAAACACTTCAGGCCAGAAAGGCTTGAGAGGGTCTAATTGATGAGTGGAGCTGTGTTGGTCCTACAGTTTGCTCCTCCACAGTGTCTGTTAACTGATTACAGTAATTACAACTTTAGTGCAGCCTTTTTCATTATTCATATCAGTGGCTTTATAACGTTCTCTGATTAATTAGGTGCCAATGATGGCTAATAATCTGTCTGTATCTGCAACACATCTTTGCCTTGGAGTGACAGGCTGAGCTGAAACACCAGACTGTGGGCGAGATCCGTTGTTTGATATCAGACAGTCTAATGCCAGCGAGAGATGCTGTGATCAAGCAAGACACAGCGATGCCAAGCTTGGGATTTGAAAGCCTGTAGATCATAGGAGGAAGAGTGAGAGTTTTGGGATTTTTGAATGTGAAATCATGACTGAGATGGTCAGACACTGCCGGCAGCTGGATTGCGAGGGGAGAGCGCGAATGGATGAGGCATTTTCCCCAAAGGAGCGTAGGAGCATCAGTGTCCCCTAGTGGCTGCTGACAGAGAATCATTGTAGAACTCAGGACATCAGGGCACATCTGTAGCACGGAGGGGGGGGGGGTGGGGTGGGGGGAGGTGAGAGGAATGAGGAGCATCTAGGGAAGCAAACAGTGAGCTATTAAAAGTATGAAGAAAGAAAGCCTAATAATAGTAATAAGATTCCCCATTGTCAAGAGCTCCAGGAAACTACCCTGTGTGAAGGGCACTATAGAAGTGCAAGTTGTTGTTGCTGCTGTTGTTGAGGTGCTTTAAAGCGCTTCACAGAATATAGTGCAGAGTAAATTGACTGTATTTCTTTTATGGGCGATACCCGGCAGCCAATTGTGCACAGCAGTGTCCCGCAAGCAGTCGCGGATAGAGCGACCACATTTTTTTTGAAGGGATTTACTTTTGTGGACAAATAGAAGGGGAAAAAAAACGGACTGCTTCAAAAAGTTAGTTAGAGTAACTAGAGGGAACCAAGTCACAAATGAAATGGAAAAAAACAAGACCTTTACATTAACCCCCCACCTCTCTCTCTCTCTCTCTCTCTCTCTCCCCTCCTGAAAATACTGCAATTTAGCCCTGCTCAACTCACGTCGTATGAAAAAGGATCTGAACAACTCGTTTGTATGATTACCCTCCTCCTTGAGTCACAAATTAAGAAATAAGTACACGGATGACAGCTTCAATGTTTTTGGAGATTTGACAAGACGCTGAACGTCATGTGGCTGTGTGCGTGTACACTGTTCTGCTTGATTCCAGTGTCCCAGCACTCAGTCCCTCGCCTCTACGAGGTGGGTGGGAGGTGGGGGAGTCTTGCGATCGATCCCAGTTATTCATCATTGTAGCAACACACATCATGACAAATAGTCTCCGTGTGTTGTAAGGAGTTAATTAAAATTACACACAAAAGGAACGAACAAACCGCTGTGCTGGTGCTTTTCAGCGACTCCGATCCTGATGATAATCAAATGCTAATTCAGTGGAGGCAAAGACTTTTTCCTTATGAATTATTGAATGTGTTAAACTGTAATTTTAGCAGTTTGTACTTTGCATCATCAGTGAAGACGCACGAATGCTGATTAGGTGCAGTGGATTTATCAGTGGTACACCACCTGAATTAAACAGTGGGTCCTGTGAGATTTGAGGAGAGTTTCTCACTGGGGAGGGGAATATAAAATGGATGATTGATCCACTCTCTCCTATAAAGTATCAGGCTTTCCAATATTGAAGCTTATCGATTACCATCAGAAAAGGGATGCAGAGCACAAAAATGTCCCTCAATCTTGTTTCCTATCCCTGGCAACGGAAGTTAGGCAATAGGAAGTGTTTTACACCCAGGAAAATAATAATGATAATAATCCTCGCATTTGATACAGCGCCTTATCACGTCTTCGAAACGTCTGTCAGGGCTTCACAGAATATACTGTAAAGTGAATTGACTGTACACTTTGTGGGCGAAATCTGACAGCCAATTGAGCACAGCAGTGTCCCACAAACAGTTGTGATTTTTTTTGAAGGGATTATTACCCCAATGGAAAAGCACTCTGACAATGGATTAACAACCGGGTTCCTACTTACTGCGAGGTAAACAGAGGGGTGTGTGTGGGGTAAGGAAACTTGCCCAACGTTTTGCCCTGCCTGGGAATCGAACCTCTCACTTGCGAGGTGAGTGCTCTAACCACTGAGCTATAGGACTTCACGGTGCTCTCTGGTTAATATAGCGTGCCCAGTAAAGCTCCTGTCTAACCTTGCGATGTAAACCCAACCTATGGCTCAATTCAGCGAACATCTT